CTTATAACTCGGGAACAGCTAGATGGAGAGGTGCATAGGATAGGTATGCGGAAGGGGAGTGGAACTTCCTTTGCACTCGACAAAAGCACCACTCTCTCACATCTCCATGTGTTCACCAACGCAGAAGCTCTCCAAACCCCATCCTTCTGGGTTTTATGGAGGCTTCATTTCATAGGCATGATTGATTAAATCATTGGTCACTGTTGATTGATTCAACCTTTAGCCTCTCCCTCCCTGGACTCAGGGGGTGGGATGGAAAGATCCAGCCTTCCAAGCACAGGGTTGGTTTCCTTGGTGACCAGCCCCCACCCTTAGAGGCTTCCCAAAGGCACTGCATTAACATAACAAAAGGCACTTTTTGTGGGTCTCATCACTTAGAAAAGTACAAGCTTTTTAGGAGTACTGCAAAGACCAAATATATGTTCCTTATTATAAATCACAATATTACACTGCCCCTGGGCCCTGACCCTAGGCTGCTCCTTGCTTTCCCCAGGGTAACTGCTCTCACTCCTGAACTTACCCATCCCGGGAGGTAACAGTGGGAAAGGCAGGTGATAAGAGTTAGACTCCTAGCTGCACTATTAATTGCTTTGTCAACTTGAGCACTGCCCTGGTCCTCTCTGGGCCCAAATCTCCAAAATTTATTACCCTCCAGGAGGGTAATAAAGGAGGCATACAGTCAGCCTGTTCCAAGCCCCTTTTGCTTGTGCTATTCAGAATCCAAGGCACCAGTAGTATATGGCCTAGGTGAATGAGCCAACACATACCTTGTGACCCAAGATCACCCTACAGTGTTGATTTATTTCAAAAATCATGCTTATAACAGGGATGCCTAGGTGGCTCAGTAGATTAAGCTTCCGACTCTTGATTTCTGCTCAGATCATGATATCATGGTTTGTGAGATTGAGTCCTGCCTTGAGCTCTAAATCAAGAGCTCAGTGAGGACAGCACAGAGCCTGCTTGGGATGCTTTTTCTCCCTCTCTCTCTCTGCCCCTTTACTGCTTGCGCTGGTGCTCTCTCTCAGAATAAATAAATAAACATTTTTAAAACAATTATTCTTGCAACAAAAATTATAAGCAGCATTTATAATAGAATTTTTAAAGTTTATTTATTTTGAAAGAGAGAGAGAGAGGGAGAGAGAGAGAGCATGAGTGAGGTTGGGAGTTGAGGGGCAAGGCACAAAGAAGAGACGTAGAAAATCCCAAGCAGGTTCCATGCTGTCAGCATGGAGCCTAATGCACTGCTCAATCTCAGAACTTCCAGATCATGACCTGAGCTAAGATCAAGAGTCAGACATTTAACCAACTGAGTCACCCAAGGCTCCCCTTACTAAGAATAAGTTTTTAAAAAATGTCTTCTCACATATTCACTAGCAATTTAGCTTCTAAGATTATGAAAATAAAGTATTACTGAGCCCATAATTAATGTTTGACCATGCAAATTAGACATAATTGTTATTGCCATTGATTTCTTTATGAGCAAATCATGAGGGCTTTTTTTTTTTTTAATGTCTTCTGGGGCTTTGACTTTATGGAAATAATGTATTCATATTATTCTATAATGACTAAAACCTAAAATAGGGTTTTTGGCACAAAATTGCAGTATTATAATAACCTGGCCACATTTGGAATTTTGTCATTTAAATGATTTCAATTCAACACAGTTGAAAACCCTGTATGTGACTCTGATGTTTGATTTAGTTATTTCCAAATCCTATCAAGAGGGGAGAAGACCTGCTTTGCTATCACATATAGAGTTATTCTCCACATCTGCTAGCTTGAAGTCTGGCTTTTGCTGTTGGATATCACAGTTTCCAGGGGGGGAAACAAATCTTTGAAGAGGAAAGTATTTTTCCTAGGAAGACCTCCAAAGATGATGGCAAGGATTATCTCCTGACATCATACTCCTAACTATGATCTTTCTGTCACAGTCATAGAGCTGTGGCACAGTTGTCATATATATGTGACATATATATCACATGCCATAAGTCATATATGTATGTCACATAGGAATATATGTACATTAATGGGTGTATGACATTTATGTGTATATATGCCATATATATATGACAACTATGACAGCTCCATGAGTTACTCACACACAGACACACATAGGCACACACATACACACAGCTTTCCAGATAAAATTAATACACAATGAACTGCACGTTTTCGAAGGGTACAGAGTGGTCAGTTTTGACATATGTATATATCTGTGAAATTCACAATCAAGGTAATGAACTCATCCCTAACCCCTAAAAATTTCCTCCTGTTCCTTGGTAATTTTTCCCCGATCCTCCTCTCCACTCCTTTCCCTGGCTTATCGTGAATTTGCTTTCTATCACTATATTCACTTCCATTTCTCAGAAATTAATAGAATGTTTTGTCTGGCGTCTTTCACTCAGCATAATTATTTCAAGGTGTATCATGTTGCATTGCGTATGAATAGTTTATTCACTTTAATGCTGAGTAGCATTCTATTATATGAAATTACTACAATTTGTTATTCTTTGCTTATTCAAATTATCTTCTAGGATAATACCTAAATGACTTAATCATAAGGTTAGGTATGTTTTTGAACTTTTTAAAGAAACTGCCATATTGTTTTTCAAAGTGGGTATATCGTTTTCTTCTAAGAGCGGTGTATGAAAGTTCTTGTTGTTCCATATCCGCATGACAATTGATAGAGCCGGACTTTTTAGTAGCTGTGCAGTAGGGTCTCACTATGGTTTCACTTTGCATTTATTTATTTGATATAGCTCTGGTCAGTTTATCTATTTCTTCTTCAGTTAGCTTTGGGAATTTTTTTCTTTTAAGGAATTGTTCCATTTCATCTGAAGTGTCAAATTTATTGACATAAAGATGTTCATAATATTTCTTTTATCACTTTAATCCCTGTAGATTCTGAAGTAATAAGGAGTCTTCCATTTCTGGTATTGCTAATTTGTGTCCTTTTATTCCTGACAAATCTGTTGAATGAATAGTTTATCCATTACATTATCTTCTCAAAGAACCAGTTTTGGATTCAAAACTGGTTCAAATCATGGCTTTCTATATTGTTTTGCTGTTTACTATTTCACTGATTTCTGCTTTAATATTAATTATTTCTATTTTTCTTATTTTGGATATTTGCTCTTTATTTTCTACTTTTCTAAAGTGGTTGCTGTGGTCACTGATATGTGATCTTCCTTCTTCTCTAATATATTATTTAGTGCTACAAATTCCCCCTCCCCAAGTACTGCTTTAGTAGCATTTCACATATTTTGATATATTGTGCTTTCATTCTCATTCAGTTCAACATACTTTCTTTTTTTCTTTTTATTTATATATGAAATTTATTGTCAAATTGGTTTCCATACAACACCCAGTGTTCATCCCAAAAGGTGCCCTCCTCAATACCCATCACCCACCCTCTCCTCCCTCCCACCCCCCATCAACCCTTAGTTTGTTCTCAGTTCTCAACAGTCTCTTATGCTTTGGCTCTCTCCCACTCTAACCTCTTTTTTTTTTTTTTTCCTTCCCCTCCCCCATGGGTTCCTGTTAAGTTTCTCAGGATCCACATAAGAGTGAAACCATATGGTATCTGTCTTTCTCTGTATGGCTTATTTCACTTAGCATCACACTCTCCAGTTCCATCCACTCAACATACTTTCTATTTTAGCTTTGATATCTCCTCTACCCAAGGGTTATTTCTAAGTATATTATTTAGTTTTCAAATATTTGGGGATTTTCCAGACATATTTGTGCTATTGATTTTAATGTAATTCCATTGTTATTAGATAACATTTGCATAATTTGAATCTCTTTACATTTTTTAGACAAATTTATGGCCTAGAATATGGTCTATCTTGGTAAATGTTCCATACACACTTGAAAAAAAAAAGATGTATTCTGCCATCGTTGGGTGGAATATTCTATAGACATCACTAAGTTAGGTTCATTATTAATATTATTCAAGTCTTCTGTAACTTATTGATTTTCTGTCTACTTATTTCAATTATTGAGAAAGGAGTATTGACATCTCTGACTACAGTTATGGATTAATCTATTTTTCCTTGAAGTTTTAACAGTTTTTGCTTCATGTATTTTGAAGCATTATTATTAGGCATGTAAATGTATGCAAATATTATATACTACTGATAAATCGATCTCTTAGGATTCTGAAATGACTCCCTTGACTCTGGTAATATTCTTTGCTCTGAATCAGCCTTGATATTTATATTACTCTAAATACAAAATAAAGTTCTTCTTCCAAAATTATCTTGTTATAAGCCCATAATATTGCCTAGAATGACTGTGATACAATTTATAGTAATTATTCTTTAATCGTTAGGCTTTCAAGATTTTTTTTTCACCACAGAACTAGTTCTGCAAATATGCTTGTAGATATATTCTTAAGCATGTATTTTTATTTCTGAGTTGTTTGATTAAAAGATAATACATATTCTCCAAAAAAAAGTGTATCACTTTGGAGTCCCACCAGTGAGGTATGAGAAAGCAATTTTCATCCCACACATTTGTCAGCATTAAATGCAATTGTACTTCCATTTTTCTAAATTGATAACTGAAATATGATATACATATGTTGCTTTAATTTGCATTTCCCTGAATAATACCAATGTGGAGCATCTTGCCCTATTTTTATTATTAGTTGTTTGGGTTTCTATTTCTTGAGTGGCCTATTCTCTTTATAGATAAATCATAATATCAGTTTGATTTTTTTTCTTTTTAAGGTTGGTTTCTAAGCTAGTGTTCCTTTAAAAAAAAAGATAGTGTTCCTTAATGTCTAAGTATTTTGCTAATATTTTGCTATTTTTTTTTCCTTAATAGGTGAAACAAAATGTAGTCCATCCACATACAATGGAATACTATTGTTTGGATAAATAAATACTGAGAAGTAGGATTGCCACATCACGTGGCAAATCTATTTCTAATTTTTTAATATAATTTATTGTCAAGTTAGCTAATATACAGTGTATACAGTGTGCTCTTGACTTCAGGAATAGATTACTGTGATTCATAGCTTACATACAACACCCAGTGCTCATTCCAACAAGTGCCCTCCTCAATGCCCATCATCCATTTTCCCCACTCCACCACCCTTCCACCCCCATCCACCCTCAGTTTGTTCTCTGTATTTAAAATTCTCTTATGGTTTGCCTCCCTCTCTGTTTGGAACTATTTCTTTTCTTTCCCTTCCCCCATAGTCTTATGTTAAGAAGTGAAACATGAATGAAACATATGAGTGAAAACATGTGTTATCTGTCTTTCTCTGATTGACTTATTTCTCTTAGCATAATACACTCCAGTTCCACCCACTGTTTTTAATTTTTTGAGGAAACACCGTACTGTTTTCCATAATGGCTGCACCAGTTTACATTCCCACCAATAGAACACACAGATTTCCAATTTATCCACATCCTTGCCAACACTTGTTATCTTTTAGTTTTCAGACAATAGCCATTATTGAGAAACCTAGTTCTAAGAAATATAGATGAAAAGTTTGTTGGAAATTCTCCATATATGCCTTTTTAGGTCTTTTCTTTTGAGCTTATCAGATTTCCCAGAGAAGAATTTCCCAATATTCTATGTAGAGACTGTTTAAATATCAGACCTTTCAGAGTCAAGTTGTAGAAAGGATATAGGGTCAAATGTCATATGTTCGCTAGTCCTATTTTTGGTATAGAATGCAGATCCTCAACTGTATCTAGCATAATTTACCACAGAAACTCTTCATTATATCTTCTCTAATGAATATATTTCCAGAAAAAATAGTGGGGGTGAAGGAATGGGGGGGTCTCATCTAAGAGTATGAAATGGCAATCTGAATGCTACTCAAACAACTTTCACTTAATCCTCCTGATATTTTGCTTCTCTGCCTCCCCAGTTATAGAAGTATCTGGTGCTATTGATACATGAAATTTTTGAGCATTCTGTGGTGTAAACTTTTTCACTTGTTGAATTAAGGTTTGGTTTTCTTAGATACTCTGTATCAACCATCTGTTTTCACCCTTGTCTTCTGTTGTATCCTTTGCTGTCCCTCTATGTTTATCAGGTTATGTCTTTAAAATCTCTTTACTGTAAATTTATTGGATTTTCAGGAGAAAGTGCCATTATATTGCCATTTAGTGCAAAATTCAAAGTTCAATTTAAATGCCAGAGTGTTATCCAAGGAAATCTAGAGGACATTAGTTCCCTCCAATTTGCTCTGAAAAATGTCTGCTGCATGTTTCACAGTGTTGACTTTATCTCTGTTTATGCATATCAAGAGTGCTGTCTTTTCCCTTTATCTAAGCACTCAGTGACCCTTGTACTGCCTCTGCATTCTGCCCATGTTGGGGAGTTGAGCAGAACTGTGTTCTACCAGCATGCAGGAGGAGTCTCCTGACTTAGCTTTGAAGAGCAAAAGAATTTCTCTTTGAACTAACACATGGCTGACATCACTCTTTCTGTGTAAGTCCTGGCCACAGTAGCTCAGGGTATTGTTAATCAATCATTTCCTGTTCCATGTAACATGAATGCACAAGCTTAGGACACATAAGTCTAAATGCCAATGCCTTCAGACATTGGTTTGAGGGGAAATTGTGGGTTGAAAGTCATAGCAATTTCTAGCAACTTATGGAATACAAGTGACAACGGAGTCTTTTTATAAGAACATCTGTCTGACAAGTGTGTGTGTGTGTGTGTGTGTGTGTGTGCGCGCGCAGGTGTGTACATTTCTGCCTAAGTGAGAAGGTTTCCCTTTCTACTTGTATGAGCTTTTGGATATCAATACAAATTTGTTAATTAAAAACATTCTGCTATAGTAGTTTCATGAAATACATGTCTCATACACACATACATAACATATATCATATATAATATCACGTATATTTATATATAATCTGCCTATTCAACTGGACATACATAGGGAAAATTGTGGGTGATTATTAAGATGTATCACAATAGTTAACTGAGATATTGTAGTTTCTATCATTTAGATTTGTTTTCTGACTCATCCCCAACTGAGTCCTATAAAGCACAGAAGAGTTATAACTAACCCTCTCAAAACTTTTGATGCATAACCATCAAAGTTTTGAGATCTTAGCAGAGTGGAAAACAGAGGTCAGAGAGGAGTTCTTCCGTGATTGAGCATAAGGTCTTCCTGGTGTCTCTGGAAGTGCCTTTGCAGAATTGGGGCACAGCTTGGGAGAGTAATGGCAGCACCTAGCAGGAACTGTATAATAATTGTGATGTCTCTGGTCACTGACAGAATAATTGAGCTGGGGGAGGGAATGGGGATGAGACATTTTCAAATTGCTGAAATTCTCATATTACCGGGTAAGGGTAAGAACCAGTGAAATTTGAATTACAGTTAGAAGTGTAATGTCATCTATATGAGTAGGTTGAGGAAGTTTTAGTTATGCTAAAGGAAAATAAGTTTATTAGTTGTAAGAACCTTTTTCCTTGGATGACAGTACTTCTATCAATAGGGGAGCTCTTACATGATAAGGTATCATTCTATAGAGTTACAAACAATTTTTTTCCCTATTGAGGGGGAGTTCTTTTTACCTTACTTTTATCACTACATAAGAATGATTATTAGAAGATTCTTCTAACATTATCCTTTTTAACCTGCATCAACTGCCATGGGATCTTCGATATACTTCTCTCTTGAATGCAACTCGGAAACATTATCACATTTGCCATGTATATAGTAGCCCAGGTGCTTATACTAGATCCATATTTGCTTTGAATATTTTTGTAATAGTAGATCTTTTAATTTTTATAAAATGGAATGTAGCTTAAAAACAAGCAATTTGTAGTGATTTATCTACCTGGATCCTTCTATTATGAGAAATTATGAATGCCACATGTGATTAATTTGTTTGGGAAATTTTGTAGGCTGTCTAATGGCATACATTATTAGACAACTCAAATAAGAGGAATTTACAACATATGTGGTAAGGTTTGATTTTTAATAACGAGACACATTATTTTCTGTTCAGCTCAGTTCTTCAGCCTAATAAACACATCCTTTCCCCAGCAGTTTCCAAACTAACTACCCATGAGCACCAGGACGGAAGTGATTAGCAATTGTTTTCTTTCTTTGTTTTAAAATTAAAGAAAAATGTTTATTCATTTTTGAAAGAGAGAGAGAGTGAGAGAGAGAGAGAGAGAGAGAGAGAGAGAGCTGGGGAGGGGCAGAGAGAGAGAGGGAGACAGAGAATAGGAAGCAGGCTCCTCAATATCAGCCCAAAGCCCTACACGGGGCTCAAACCTAGGAACCTTGAGATCATGACTGGAGTCGAAGTCAGTCACTCAACTTATAGCTACCCAGGGACTACATCTTTCTTTTTATTTTTTAAAGATTATTTCTTTATTTTGAGAGGGAGAGAGTGAGAGTGAGAGCAAGAGAGAGAGAGAGAGAGAGAGAGAGAGAGACTGGAAGGGGCAGAGAAAGAGGGAGAGAGAGAATCCCAAGCAGGCTCTGCACTGTCAACCAAAATCAAGAGTCGGATGCTTAACCAACTGAGCCACCCAGGAGCCCCAGCAATTGTTTTCTTTCCATATGGGATTATGAATGTTTTCTTTATTTCTTGATTCAAATGTTGACAGTTTATTTACTCTTGATGCTTTGCCCCAACTCCTCCAAATAAGTGTTTACATTACTTTGGGGATGAGAAAAAGATTATCTAAAAAAGAAACAAAATGAAAAATTCCACTGACAGTTAAATTAGTAACACATAATTTCTTTGGTTGGTTGGGATTCTGGAAGTTGTATTTTCTTTCAGGAATACTTTATCAACAAGGAAGAAAATACTATTTTAAAAGGTATTGATTCATTACTCAAACTTGAGAGAGAAAACACAAGAGGAAATAGGAAATATGTTATTCAATCATTATATTCTGTATCAATTCTCTATCACTATATAATTGTATTTAATTTTACTTGGTAAACAAATTCATACTCTGGCTGTTTCATTTAGATGACTCACCATGCTATACTGTTATATTATTAGTATCAACATCTGTGTCCATTGTAATCCCACCAGACAAATTAAGCATCCAGATATTTTTTTTTTCTTTTTAGGTACTAGAATAAACAAATAGTGAGGATTACAAATTGTCATATTGTGAAGAATATCTCATAAATGCAAAATAATAGCATTTAATACTTTCGTTTTTAAATGCTTTTAGTTTTTTGAAGGATGAATTTGGAGGAATTGATGTTCTTTAAAGAGAATTATATAGGAAAGGCAATTACATATTTTTTATTATAGATAGGTATTTTTTGTTATTATAGAGGAAGTAAACATTGAGGAAACCTTCCTGTGTGTGAGTGTAAGTACACAAGGCATGCTAAGTACATTGCAAATCTCATATTTGGTGACTGGTGATTAACAAATCTTCACTTTAAAAAGTGTGGAATGCATATATAGAATACATTGTTTTCCAGCATAGATAAAATGGATCATAGATAACTTATATGAGTTTTTACTATATTTGTAGAAAAATAAGGTTATAATTGGTATCTATTAAACTATTTATTTTTTTAAAGTTTATTTTGAGACAACAAGAGAGTGGGGGATGGGCAGAGAGATGGAGAGAGGGAATCCCAAGCAGGCTGCACACTGTCAGCATAGAGTCAACATGGGGCTCGATCTCACAAACCGTTAGACCGTGACCTGAGCTGAAATCAAGAGTTAGATGCCCAACTGAATAAGTCACCCAGGTGCTCCAGTATCTATTAAACTTTCTAGCAAATGTATGTTAAACTTGGCTTAATGTAGCAGACACCAGAGTACAGAACAGTGCATCTTACATTTTACCTTCCTTTCAGCCTTCTTCCAGCATGTTGTAAGGACCTTGTTGATTTAAAGTTTCTATTCTAGATGAGAACTATGAAACTATCTCTGATTAACTCAAACCCTCTCTTATGAAAGTCAGTCATACCATCCCCAAACACAATAAGAGGATATAGTTCTTCCCTCAAATATAGATAGAGGAAGTCCCCGATAATTTGGATTACTTCGGTTTTGTAAATCTGAGCTGTTGTAACCATAGCCTTTTAGTATCATATAATTCTTTCCAGAAGCACACATGACACAACAACCAGACTAGAAGTATTTG